AATGTGGTGACCATTTGTTTTTTCTCAGCCTTTGTTTTTCTTCCCTGTTCACCTGTTTGAACACTGTTGCCACAGAAAAAAAGATTCAGAGGGTTCAACCACAGGCTGGAATTTTGTTCTTTTTATTCTTCACCTTTTTTTTTTTTTTTTCTTTTTTTTATGACTGCATTTTTAAATGGCATGTTTATAAGTGTGGACCTCATTTTCAAAACAAAGTATTTTGAAACTAATTTTGCAAACAGCTGTTGCAAAGCATAGCCCAGACCGGAGACCTTTCGCATCTGTGTCTCTGACTCTGTCCTTGCAAAAGCGGTGTCAGCACGGAGCGTTCTGGGGTAGGTACCAGAGGGACTCGTGACCCCCACAGGGCAGTAAAACAGCTTTTTTGAACTCTTGGTCTGTCCTGGTGTCCCCACAAGCTCTTCTACCAGCTCAGACATCCCCAGCACCACTCTTCCTCAAGAAAACAGGCAATTTCTGAGGCAGTTTAGGTACAGTAACTTGGGGAATCTGCATGTTGCTGAAACGGTCCCTGCCCACCCCTGAACCCCTTCCTCCTGCACCTGCTCCCCACGATCACCAGCCTTGGGACATTGTGGCATTTACCAGCAAAACCAACCCATCTGTGGGTATGTTCTCAGTGGCACTTTGTGCATCTGCTTTAGATTGCTTTAAATTACAGCAAGGGGCCAGCTATGTTTAAATGGACTCAGAGGTGAGACCAAAGAAATGAGGCTTAAAATTCAAAGCAATCCGACCTGCCCTGCCATGGCGTAATGGTCTGAGTAAGGTGCTGGCACAGAGCCATCTCCCTGACTCCTGGGAGAGATGCTTTAAAAGCTCCTCACATGGGCAGTTCAAATGATGTACACATGGGGAAAAAGAAAATAGTGTTTAATTGAAACTCTGTACATGTATATATGTTTTTAGGATAAACAAAACAGATTGGACAAATATTTACTTCTGCCCCCACTGCTACAAAGCAAACTTTCCCACAGCTTTTGACAGATATAATCTGTTTTTTAGCCATGATGGTGAATTTGTAATGACAAGGTTTCATTCTGAATGTTTCAGGATTTCCTGATTGGTTCTCATGCAATTATTTTGATTAACAATGAGGTTTTCAGACCGACTTGAAAGGGTCTCGGAGCCTTAGGAATAACCTGGCTCTCGGTTATTCTTCTCACTGGGATTATTTTCTGCAACTTTCTAGCACTGGAATCAAATTCTTTGGAAATCAAAGAAAACTACATCTTAAAAATATTTCATATCTCCATCCCCCTCTGATAAGGGTTTCTTTAAGTTTAGAAAAATGCTTGTACCATGTCAAAAAAATAAAAGCATAGAATTGGAATAAGAATGAAATCCCAATGTAATTTTTTAATGAAAAGATGTATTTTTAATAAAAAGATGAATGCTTTAGGTGGTCATTTCTGTGAGAAGGCAACATCTAAAACAGAAACTGAGAAGTATTTAGGGCATTTCTGATTAAAAAAGAAATGAGGTCTAATACTAGAAACCTCTGGATGTTTCTCTTTCATTTATAAACATAGGAGGGAGCTTAAGGAATTAGGAAACATGCATTACTGCTGTTTACTCAGCTTTCATTGTTCTTTTCTTATGACTTAAATTTTTTAGCCTTTTTTTGAGATGATGTAGAAATCTCAGACTGGCTTCAGAGTGTGCATGCCAGCAGATCCCCTCCTCAACTGCCTGCCTCTATACTGCAGGTGATAGCATCTTTCTGCAGATGGGAACAGTCCTCAGGAGTTCCAGTTGCCAGCAGAAAATGCCATCAGTGGCAAGTATTCTTAATTAAAAGCCATGTATAATGTGCTTGGACCCAGTGCATCCTAGGCAGGATCCAAATCAGTGGGGACTGCACCTCCTTCAGCTGACCCCACAGCTGTCCACAACGCACTGGGCTCCTGCTCCCGGGCAGGTGAGAAATGAGACCTGGCTCCTGCTCACAAGAGGTGCACGTGGAATAACTCACCCTCTCTATTTTCCGCTGGGAAATCGCACCAGGTGAGCCTAAACATCTGCAGTGTAAACAGTGTAAACATCTGCACTGTGAGATGTCTGCTGCAACAGGTCTTGCATTCACCATGTCCTAGATTAATTTGTCACCTTATAATAATTTAAATAGAATAGAATAGTGGATTTAAGTGTCATAGTGGCAGAACTCAGTGAGGATTGAGAGGGATGTTTTGACACAAGCTGAGAAGCCTGTAAATGAAAAAAAACACCAGTTTTTGCCTTCTGTGAAAGTGAAGCCTTCTGACTTCAAGCAGTTAACCGACCAAACTGCCCAAGTTAAGCACACACACAAGCTAAAGGTAAGTACGTGTAGCAGTGTATTTTCTTTCACACCACCAAAAGTGGAAACATAAGCCATGTGTCTGATGTCATCTCCATACAGATGGGTTTGAAATGCTGGCTCCATCTGAAACATCATTACTTTTACAGTGAACTTTTTAAAACTCTATTATTGCTGCTAATATTATGTGTATGTATTTTAGAAGTAATTTCCCCGGACTCCAGTAAAACATTCTAACAGAGTTTTGTTCTCTAAACAGTTTTAACCCATGTTTTGCCTTTTGGGAAGTACTTTTGGCCCCCAGGCAACACAGAAAAAAGAATGCTGGCTAAGTAACACCAGATGCAAGAGAGACTGCTGGCCACTAGAGAGCTCACAGATGAGAAGGCCTTACAGGTTTAAATACAAATATGTTTTGTAATGAAAGCAGAAACCCTCTTTTACTTTAGGGCACAGGACCATGAAACCCAGAAAGGTTTTTTACTTGGGTTACAGCAAAAGGCATCATTATCCATAATTACATTTTTCATACCTGAAATCAAAAGCTCCAAAGCTGTCCTCCCTCCAGAGCAAGGTGCAGAAAATTATCTTAAAGTTCAGATTTTGCTGATCTTAGGGATGAATGAAAAGCTGCTGCAGCCCCTTGATAAAGGTGTCTGCACAGGGATTATGTGTCAGGCACCATCTCATGCTCCATCAGTGCTGCAGCCTCAGAGATGCCACATGTCACCTGGAATTAGAGCACTGCAGTCACAGCCTCTTGCTCTGCACATAAAGGGCAACAGGGCTCCTCTCCCCTCCCTCTCCCTCACTCAGGCTCCTATTATTTGGGACAAAAGTCACCTTTTGCATAGCTCACAGTGCCTGGGAGCTGAAAGGGTCTGGCTGTGGTATGTGCCGATGGTCCTTTGGGAATTGCCTTTGGGATAGGAAGAGACTCCGCCAGGTGCACCCCCTCTGAAGGGACTGGCTGAGGGTCATGGTATTTATATTGGGCTGAAATGCACTGCATTGACTTAAGGGTCCCAGCCAGGCCTATGCCTGGGCAGGTCACAAGTGAAACCACAGGGTGCAGGGTGGGATGTGCTGGCATTGGAGCTGTGGGTTACAGGAACCTTGTGTTGGTTGTTTTCTGGGAGCACTTTGTTGCCAGTGACAAGAACCCTTGTGGGTCCCTGCAGATGTGTGGGCTGGTGCACTGGGAAGGACACAGAGGTTGAGCAGGGGTGGGCAGCAGCTGGGCTCAGCATGGCGAGTGCCAGTGCACCTGGGCCAGTGAGCGCTGTGCCCACAGGGCGCTGCAACACCCTGGGTAGAAAACCTCCAACACAGTTTGGACCTGCTGCCTTCCTGCTGACCCGTGAAATGCTCCTGTCCCTGCCACATGTGGCCTTTCTTGTGACATCCTGCAGCCTGCCTGTCTGGCACATCCTCCTTTGGCAAGGATGGTAAATTCACACCTACCCCTTTCCTGTGACTGCCACCACAGCTGGGCAAGAGGACAGCCTGTGTGTGGCAGTGAGAGTGGGCTTTTGTACTGAGCCATGATTTTATGCCTAGCAAGTGGTGTTTGAAGAAGCCTTGCATGGGGCCAGATTTAGCTTAGTTTACGGAGGGGCAGGAGCCTAAAACTCCTCATGTGCCAGATCTGAACAGGCTGCAGAGGACAGTGTGGTGGCTGAGGGTGAGAGTGAGCCCACAGCCAGAGATGTGGGATAGGACTCACTCAGTGCCTTGAAACCATGAAAATGTTTCCATTGCTCAACAGTCACACAGCAAAGGAGTGCAAGAGGAACATGGAGGTCAGGGTTGACATCATCACGTAACCATTTTAAACATCTTCCTGGAAAAAGCAGCAGCTGGAGTTCCTGATGGCTGCTTCTACTCTGTCCTATACATTCTGCTAGTGCCACATACAGGGCCTAGGGCTGGTGTGCAGAGAGCTGGGAACGCAGTTGGCTGTCAGGGAAAAGCAGAGACAACTTCTTACCCATGCTCTTGCACAGACATCTTGAGCTGGACCACAAAACCCCATCACCAGGAACCCCTCTCTGATCAAAGCAAGGAGGGACATGGGTACCCAGGGACGGCTGGGGTTTCCTGGTAGCAGGAATAGGGCTGGGATTTTTTGAGGCCCCTTCCCAGTGTGGCCTTTCAGATCTGGGTATCTCCTCTGCCAGAAGCAATTTCCACCCCCTTCAATTTCCCAGGGGCTTGGTGAGATGGAAAAAAGTGCTGTCAGAGGTTTTCCCCTTCCTTTCCAAAGCATTAGCCCCTGGGGTCCCCAGCAGGGATTTGGCAGCCACAGGAATGTGTGGGAATGCAGGAGACTTCAGGACAGGGCTTAGGGGTGTATGTTATTAAGAGAAATATCTCATCGAGGACTTATTTGCATCACACTCACCCCCAAGTCTCAGAGCAAAACTGCCCATGCCGACCCCCCCCATATCCTGGTTTCTCTCAGGTGCGTGTCCTCGCTCTCAGCAGGCCAGAACAAGGGTGTGCCCAGAGTCCCTGGCAAGGGATGAGCGCAGCGCCGCAGTATTGCTGATATTGTGCCTTTCAGGGCGTGAAGGAGTTAAACTTTTCAGATGGAAAGCGAGCTGAAGATCAGACCAGCAGCCTGGTGACCTCCCGCTGCTGGGACAGCAGCAGCTCCCAGCCAAGGCCGGCAGTTCCATCCATCCATCCCTCGTTGCGGTGGGGCCGCGGGGAGCAGCGGACGGTAGGTGCGAGGGGCGGCGTGCCTGGCCACCATGTGGGACCTGCCCTCGGCTCCGGAGGGACCCCGGCATGGGGCCGGAGGGCGCTGGCACGGACTGAGGGTCTGTGGGATGGAGGGAGCGCCCTGTTCTGCTTTCAGAAAAGGAGTTGCTCGAAGTGATCTTGTCCCGACACTGCATGGGGAACTGTGATTTCTTGCCTTTTGGGACACCCGGTCAGCAGATACCGAAAGTTTGGGAAAAGCATAGTTTTGTAGTTGAACTCCTTGCATGCAGCAAGGGAGGACACTGTGGTTTTATTTCTCCCTGATGAGGAAGGAATGACATGTGCATTATTTAATCCTGTCCTCTGATGATGGTCAGAGATTTATCAATAAATGCAAAAAGCAGCCAATGTCCGTTTACAGTTTCTAAACAATGAAAGATTTTGATATAAGTGGAAATTGGGTTTTTTCCACTTGAACTGAAAACACTGTGGTCTGATTCTAAGTAGTATCAGGCATAGCCTGTTGTGCTAAGTTGTCTCCCTGGCTCTTCAGTTTATTGAGCCATAGCAGACTCTCTGGTTCAAAGACAAAGTGTCAGTAATCTGAAAGTTTATTTTGTAGTAATAAAGTGGTATTGTTTTACCTAAGGACTTGCATAAACAGTTCCCATATAATTTACATTGTAATGTAATCATTTTGCATTATAGAATTCTCTTGTTCAGAAAGCATGGCTAAATCAAAAGTCAAGATAATTTCTCGTGAAGAAACAAGGTTTACTTAACACAGCTAAAAGAAAAATGGTTAGAACCACAATCCTATGAAACTAAAACCAAAGTAGTATTCTGTTCCCTTCATTGCAAGAATATCCTCAACCCTTATGGCATTTACGTTTTTCCTTAGAAAGAAATCAGAAGACACATTTCCCTAAAATTTGAGACTTTTTTAAACTGAAATGCTCTTCGGGTGGTGTTTGAAGGAGGTTGCCAGGCTGCTGAGCGGTAATTTCTGCCCAGGCGAATGGAAGTGCAGTCACCACATTTCAGTCAGAAAAGCTCAAATTGCTCTTTACTGGCCTCCCAGTCGCTAGAACTCAATTCCCCCAAGGTACTTTCTAGCCAGAGATGAGGCTCTTGATTACAGAAATGCTGGTCTCCTGGTAATTGCATTTGATTTATTCTTCCATATCACAGAGAACAAGTCAGTGTTATTCTTTGGAAGTATGAACTCTTCCAAATGCTAATGTGTGGGGAGAAAGAAAACAGCAATTTTTATTATCTTCTTAACAACAGCCCACAGGAATGTGTTTTGCAGTGAGTGCAGCTTATGAGTTCCCCTGTCTCAGCTCTGGCCTTTCCTGAGGGCTGCTGGCACAGCCAGGAACCCCTCTGCTGACTGACCAAAAATCCATCAGGGGAAGCAATAATCCAAGAGGGGGGAAAGGAGGCCATGGGATACATTAAGAAAGTAGCTCTGAAAAGTCATTAGTAGAAATGCAGTGGGGAGCCCCACTCCTGAGGGTACCCCAGAGACATCCTGTGGCTGCTCACTGAGACCCATGGGAGATCTGGAGCATCTCTTGGGGCCAGGCAGCACCTGATGCAGGTGACACCACATGGTTCCCTGGTGATTTGTCTCTTAGGACTGCTGGGAAGGGATGCTGAATGCTATGGCTTTCAGCATCATTGGCGGGGGGGCACAGCATAGAGAAGTCTGCTGTATCCTGTTTTTGTAAAGGGCTTTTCCTCTTAGTAGTTGTAGTGAAAACAAACATGTGGGAGAACAATGGGACTTTTTTTCTGTTTTCCTCTAGGTTTTTAAATACAACAAAAATCCTATTAGAATTAAATAAAGTGCATTAACAAAAAAGGGATTCCTATATGTTAATGAGGAAAATAAGTGTAACTATGTGATCATACAATCACAAGCACAAAGGTCATTTGCCTTCTTGATCTCAGCCTGTGTTTTTTTCAGTTGAAAGCCTATTCATTAAATACCTGTGAAAACAGGGCCCTGGTAAAGAACAATGCCCGTGCCAGAAATCTGTTATGTGTAGGAGGGTCAGCTTCACACCCCAGAGAAACACCCTTGCATGCTGCTGGGCACTCTGCAGGCTTTGGAGTTGGCAACTCAGCAGGGACCAAAGAGTAGTCTGCAGAAAGGATTTCCTTTCTTCAGATAAACCCAGAGATATTGTATTTGCTGTGTGTGAAATATTTTTCAATGAGCAAACAAGGATAATTCTAGCTGCTGTAAAAATGGAAGTAATATTAAGTTGTTAATGCTTTCTAGGAGTAAAGCTTGGAATCACTGTTCATAAGATGAATTGCTCCCAAGAAAACAGGAACTAGTATGAAGTACAGTATGTAAGGTGGGACAACCAGCTTCAACTGTTCCTATTTAAATTACATGTGTTTTAGAGAAAAATCTGACATTGATTCTTCCTTCCATTTGAGAGGTGGAAGATCTACTGTAAGAGATAGTTAAGGGTACAGTTAGTTGCTCATAAGGTCAATTTACTCCTGTTTGAACATATATTTCCCTAGTGTGTGGCTGCTTAGCTGCAGCTTTCTGCCATGAGTCACTTTTCCCCTGGGAAGTGGAAACCTCTCACCTCTGACATTGCTCTCTCCATGCAGCTGGAAACCACATCTGGCTTTGACTTTCTCAGCAGCAGATCAGGATCCCGAGGCCCTTTGCTACAAGGTGAGTTTCCTGTGTCGTCATCCTCCTCACTGCTCTTCTTTCTCTTTTTGTCTTTTCTGAGTGGCAAATATACAGGGATGCAGTTTTCAAGTGTGTTTATATGGAATGAGATTATTCATGCTACTGACAAAGTCCAATACTCTTCTGACAGAGTAACTTGCACTTGACTTTTAAAAGATAAAATATCCTGGGCTCTCCAGGTATCACAGACTTAGTTTCACTTTATCACCAGTTTAATGAACTGGTGTCACTGGTTTATTAAAGAAGGTCTGTTTCTCGTTGTTGCTTGAAGTGCAGCTGTGTGTGGACACCAAGGTGGGGACACCTTCCAGACCCCATCCATCAGTGGGCAGGTGAGAAAGGCTGAGGAATATTGGTAGGACCAGATTTCATCCCAGTGTGTTTTGTTTCTGCTGAGGTCAAAGTGCTTTGTGCAATCAATATGAATTTGAAGGGATTATTTTAAGAGCGGGAGAAAAGGCTAAGGTGCAATAATATCAAAGTACCATATTGAACAGTATTTGGAGTGTAAGGTTTTGGATTTGTTTTGAAACAACATATCCTTTCAAGAATTGGTTTGTTCTTATTCAGTTCTAGCTCATAATACAAAATCAAAAAGAACAGTTTAGAAGTGCCTGAAACCAAGGGCAACAGCTTTTTGCTATAATTCTCCCGAGAACTATATGCATCAGGGTTTTGGCTCCAAGTCATAGTGATGCTAAATTTAAAAATCCTTTCAAAACAGGGCTCAACCTTTCTCACAACTCTCTTAATAAAAAGCTCAATGTTGAAGTGATAATGTTTGGAACAAAGAACACTTAGTATAAACATTTAGCTTGTACTAAATAAATTACACTTAGTCTTACAGTCACGTTACTGGTGACAGCTTGTACAGCCTGCACCCTTCCCCTGTAATTCACCAGAACGAAGCAAATATACATTGTTGGGAAAAATTTCTTGACTTTTGTCAAAGAGCCCAACTGCTGTCAGCAAACATATTGTGGGAATATGAATCTGGAAACAAACAGATCATTAGAGGGTGAGTTAAAGTTTTGTGATTTAATTCTAAACATGTTGAGTGAGTGAACCAAAGATATGCAATGCCAGAAAAATTGCGCACCGAAAGGGTTTTTTTCTTTAATGAAAGCTGGTATTTTTATTGAATACAAAGTACTTTGGGTGACAAAGATGGTTACATATGGAAAATATGAAGTTTTGCTTGTTCTGGAGAATTATGAAGATCACTTGATTAGCAGTAACATTGTGCCAGTGCAAGTTTAACATTCTTTCCTTGTGGAAATTATTCATCCATTTACAGAGCTTTATTAAAGTACAGTAATTTCCAGTGTTAAAAAGAGAATGTAAACAGAGGATCTCTGCTTGGACAGTAAGTAGTGACCTGGGCTTGTGCAGTCACATCCATCTGGTTGGATATCAACCATGCTTTGCCCTGTTACAACTGTACCAAGGGTTGAAAAAATAAAACTACTTCCCCAATCAGAGCATCTTTTTTGGGAAAACTCTGAGCTGAGGCTGTGGTACTGCCCAGCCTGCGCTGACTCGAAGAGCACTTGGGTCAAGGACTATCAGGAAGGCAAGGAGCCAGAGGAGCTCTTTGGAAGTCTCCTGAGAGGACTTGTAAATCATCTGTGGAATCCTGAGAGGGCACAACTGTTCTCAGCCTTTTAGAGAAACGCAGTGATGTCAGGGCAGGAAGGAGAGAGTCAGGCCCCATTCCTCAGCATGAGACCCTGCATCCCTTGGGATGAACCGAGTGCCTGTGACCAGTCTTGGGCCTCTTTGGGGCTTTCATTCTTGTGACACATCTCAAAGCCCTCCCCCATGTCTGGACACATCACTGTAGAACGGATATCCCCATCTGCCCCAGCCCCTGTTCTGCAGGGACAACCACAAGGCGGTCTGTGTCCTTGTGTACTTTGGCAGATGCTGGAGCTTTGCTCTCTCAGGGAAAAGCTGCTTTGGTCTCTTCCCTTCCTATAGCCAGACAGCTACTGTCCTGGCCTCACTGCTATCTGAAAGGCAGCCTGAGCTGCTCTACTGTATTGAGAGGAGAATGCTACGGAGAGAGACTAGCAGGATATCTCCACTTCAGAATGTACCCCAAAGCGCATGCAGACCTGTAAGACTTCAAAGCTGGGTCCTCTGTCAGGCATCTATCTCAGGAGCACCTTCTTCAGGCAATAGCAGCTCTGCCATTAATGGTTACCTTCACAATGTCAGTTTAATGAAAAGAGAATATCCTTTGAGATTGTCAACCTTGTCAACCCTCCAGCACACCTAACTACATCCTGGATTTCCTTCAAATTCAAGTACTTGCTTCCTGTGATCTTCTTTGTATCCCACTGGCACCATTAACCTGAATACAAATAGGAAATTTCCATTTTCCAGAGTCTTTGACAAGATAGCAAAACACTTATCTTTTTCAGGAGCAGAAAGGTGTTATTTATTGGAGTAAATGCCCCTGCAAAACTGGCTGCAGCCCCATGAGTTGCGTGTGGCCGGGGCCCTGGGGTGGCAATGGAGCTCAAACTTGGAGGTGGCTTCAGCTGCCCCTGCTGCAGGGGGATTCCTTCATGACCACGTGCCAGAGTCTTTCTCAGTGCCATCAATACATCTTCTCTTGCCTGGTCCTTCTGCTGGGCTGTCTGGGCTGCATTATGGTTAGGCTTCCAGTTATTTCAATACTGTATTTTATATGCTCTTAATTTTATAACAAGATAGAGGTTGATCAATACTTTCTGCTATTTCTTGCCTTCTCTTACAACACTGGTTCAAATAGTTATTAAATCAAAAACTCCAGCCAGCTCTGTGAATCCAGCCCAGCACTCAGGGTATGATTATGAGGGATGCACAGGATGTTACAGATGCTCATCTCAGGGTGAAGCAACAGTGTTTTGCTGCCATGAAGCAACAGTGTTTTGCTGCCCTTCACTTCCCTCTAGGAGAGAGCACTGATGAAGGAGCAGGCTGCAAGGACACAAGAGCACTGCCTGGAAATTTTGGGCTGTTGCAAGAAGATATCAGGTGATAATTTCAGAAAATCTGCCCATTAGAATCTGAGGTTCAGAAGTGCTAATGGCCAGGATAATGTGTTATTTATTGCAAACAGGCATCTGCAGTGGCCTCAAAGGCCTGCATGTCCGACTGCCCTGCTACATGCATCAAAACCCCTCTTAAGAGTCTCAGTCCCAAATTCAGTCTCCAAAGCCAAACACTGATGGTATCACATTCGCTTTTCATTTCTGTTTGGGCATTGTGCCCATGCAGTTATAACACAGCTGAGTCTGATTTTCATATAGTTCATTGTTTACTTATGACTTACTATAAAGTTGAGCTTGTCTTATTTATGAGCAGCCATGAAGATATGGGATTTCATCCACTGGGTGATGACTCATTCATTGGGTTGGACTCTTTAGCTCCTAATACGTGACATATTTTGGACTATTGGATGAACAGCATTTCTGCATGAGCCCAAATTAAATGAGGTGAATGGAAATAATTAGTTGTTTGTTTTTAAAATCATGTTTGTAGCTGGGTTTGTGCTGGTTCAGCTCCGGGCTCGTTCTAGCAATGTGCACAAGGGCAGGATGAGTTGCTGTATGCTATGGTGGAGAGGTGATGAACAGCATTTCTGAGTCAGAGTCTAAACATGCCAGGGGCGACTTTGCTTTGTTTCTGTTGCACAAGGAAAAGCTTTGCGGTGATGGAGCATTTGATACTTTCTATGAACTTTAATGACTGCAACATTTCTTGTGCCGCTGCAAACAATTTGAGAAACTAATTTGTAAAATCACTCATAAAAATCTCATGTTCTTTCTGTAATAATAAAGCTTCTCGGCTGGAAAAAGAAATACAAATCCTCAGAAAGAGCAGCTCAGCAGGAGCAAACTTCAGCCACTCTTGTCTTGGGCATGCTCTCCCCTCCTGTGGGTGCGTCATGCCCTGTGAGTTCAGCAGGAAGGATTCATGCACAGGCAGAAATATCGCCCCCGGTAACGCTCAACTACATAAGGAAAATGAAGAGTTTTTAAAACCTTTTACCCCCTCTTCCTGCCCCCAGCTCTGAGGGATGGGACCAGGACCATGGGAAATGTCGGAGTAACTTTGTCGCAGTGAGCAGTTGTTATGGCTTACAAGTTTTCACAGCCAGGAGCCCTGCCAGCAGAAATTTATGCTTCCATTTCAGCAGTAAAGATGCTTCCCAGAGCTGTCAGCCGGCAACGGGCTGGGAGGCAGCAGCAGGGCGTGTGGGGGACTCGCCATGACATAACCACATTCCTGCGGCATGAGAAGATACTCCCAGGCCGCAGCAGGGGCAGCACAGCCCCTTCCCTGCTCCCACCCCACCACTGCAGTTCTCAGGGCCTGGGGAGTGTGAATGAGCCCATCAGCTGTGCAGGCTTTGGGTGATTTTGGGGCAGAGTCGCTGGAAAGCTGCCTGGTGGAAAAGGATCTGGGCATGTTGGTTGACAGCAGCTGACTATGAGCCCAGGTGGCCAAGAAGGCCAGTGGCATCCCGGCTGTATCAGCAGTGTGTGGCCAGCAGGACCAGGGCAGTGATTGTCCCCCTGCACTGGGCACTGTTGGGGCCACAGCTCAAATCCTGGGTTCAGATTTGGGTCCCTCACTACACAAAAGACATTGAGGTGCTGGAGTGTGCCTGGGGAAGGGCAGTGGAGCTGGGGAAGGGGCTGGAGCACAAGTCTCCTTGGCAGTAGCTGGGAGTGTTTAGCCTGGAGAAAAGGAGGATCAGGGGGGACCTTATGGCTCTTCAACACCTGAAAGGAGATTGTAGCCAGGTGGGGGTTGGCTCTTCTCCCAGGTGTAACAAGTGACAAGATGAGGAAACAGCCCCAAATTATGCCAGGGAGGTTTAGATTGGATATTAAGGAAAATTTCTTCACTAAAAGCACTGTCAAGCACCGAAATGGGCTGCCCAGTACAGTGGTGGAATCACCATCCCTGGAGGTGTTTAAAAG